CCCCTGCCTAGAATCCCCAGTGAGGGGCTGGGGGCGTGGTCAGGGTGGAGCCCCGCCTAGAATCCCCAGTGAGGGGCTGGGGGCGTGGCTCAGGGGTGGAGCCCCGCCTAGAATCCCCAGTGAGGGGGCTGGGGGCGTGGTCAGGGTGGAGCCCCGCCTAGAATCCCCAGTGAGGGGCTGGGGGCGTGGCTCAGGGTGGAGCCCCGCCTAGAATCCTCCAGTGAGGGGCTGGGGGCGTGGTCAGGGGTGGAGCCCTGCCTAGAATCCCCAGTGAGGGGCTGGGGGTGTGGCTCAGGGTGGAGCCCTGTCCAGAATCCTCCAGTAGCAGGCTGGGGGCGTGGCTCAACACCTAACAGACAAGGGTCTCATCTCCAGCAATACAGACTCTTGGCGTGGTGACGTAGGCCTTCATCTCAGCACCCAGGGGTAGCTATCCTGGGATCCCTGGCCTGTCTGCTCACTGTGGAGGGACAGACCTGAGGGCTGCAGACCCCAGTGCTCTCCTGCCCTCTGCTGCCATCTTGAATCACTATCTAGTGGGAACCTGCGGCCCAGGCTCTGGCCCTCACTTGCCCACACAGAAGTCCCGGAAGATGAGGTCCAGGATCTCCTCGGTGCCTCCTCCACCCGTGAGGTGGCTCAGGTGCCTCCGAGCCAGGCGCAGGGCCTCCGCCGCCAGGGCCAGGTCTGTCGCCGGCTGGTAGTGTCGCAGGGCGTCCAGGCAGCCCTGGAGGTGGTGCTGGTGCCTCGCCCGGGTCAGGAGCGGCGGTCCTGTGGATGGGTCCCCGCACCTGCCGGAAACGAGACCCGCTGTCTCACTCACTGGGCAGCCGCACCCCGTTTGCAGAGAAACTGACGCCGAGGGACCGGCCTGAGCCCAAGCCAGCGGCCCTGCCTGCACCTGAACCTGGGCTGGGGAAGCTGAAGGAGGCCGAGGGTGACTCACACGGCAGCCAGCTCGGTCTTCAGGGCCTGCAGGAGGCCATCGAGCCCTGCTCCGGTGCGGCAGGAGAGCAGCAGGTACGGCAGCCCGAGGAGCGCGGCGTCGCTGTCCGCGGTCCTGGCGGGAAGCAGGTCGGATTTGTTGAGCAGCAGCAGGAGGCGCTGTCCGCAGCTGTCGGGGCTCTGTGCTACCAGCGGGGCCGCCACGGTGTCCAGGAAGCTGCGGCTGGAGGGGGAGGCCAGGTCGGAGGCGTCCAGTACCCCCAGGACGAGGTCAGCCTGCTCCAACCTGGGAAGGGAGGAAGCCGTGTTGCGGGGCTCAGCCATGGAGGCCTGGGATGGCACTGTGGGCGCTGAGCAGGGGGACAGACACCGCAGGGCGTGGCCCAGAGCAAGAGCCCGGGCAGAGGCAGGGCACACACAGCTGCGGGCTCCGGTGAAGGGCGTGGCAGAAAATGCTGGGGGCGTGGTCAGTGGAGAGGACCCGAGGTCAGGGCTTTTGGTGAAGGTTGGAGGGTGTAGCTGACAGGGTGGAGCAGAGCGAGGTGGTCCTGGAGGGGGAGTGACCAAGCAAGGCTTAGGGACGGGAGGGGAGTAAGCGGCTCCAGCCAAACTTGCATGTCAATCAAATTACGAGGCCCCCTACCCTCGATGTCAAGGATGCTCAAAATCTCCCGTTTCAGGAATAATGAAACAGACTTAAGGGGAGGAAAAGGCCCGGGGTCGCCTTGCTCCCAGCCCCGCACCCACCTCTGGCGGGCCCTGCGCACACCCTCCTGCTCGACGGCGCCCACGCCTTCCCGCAGCCCAGCGGTATCACTCAGCAGCACAGGGAACCCAGCCAGGTCCACGGGCGTCTCCAGCACATCCCGGGTGGTCCCGGGCTCTGGGGACACGATGGACACAGGTTTCCGGCCTGAAGGGTGGGGAGAGTGTGAAGAACAGGAGGGTGGAGGTAAGTGCCCCCACTTTCAGACTAGACCCCTGCCCAGGGCCTGGCCCCGCCCTTGCCCGCATCCCACATACTGAGCAGATTCACCAGACTGCTCTTCCCCGCATTGGGGGGTCCAGCGACCACAATGTGCGCCCCTGAGCGGAGCCTCTGACCACGCCTGGCATCTCGCAGGTGGGAACCCAGTGCAGCCTCCAGGGCTCGAACGTCTTTATCCGCTGGGAGGGAGAAGGCAGGTGGAGAAGAGGCAATCAGGAGGATCTCAGGGGGTCAAGGTGCCAGCCCCCCCCCCCAAGGCAGACATACCCTGCTCCAACACATCCTCTTCCAAATGGTCATCCTCTCCGAAGTCAATATAGGCCTCTACATGGGCCAGAGCCTGGGAGGAAGGGGAAGATGTCATGGGTGCTCCTGGGAACTCATGGTCTTCTCTAAACCCAGCTCCAGCTTGACCTGAGTGACCAGACAGGCAGTTCACAGGCCTAGAGCTTTCTCTACAGAACGGGTGGATGGGTGAGCAAGCAGGCCTTGCCTTGGTGAGGGTCTCCGCCCAGCCTCGGCACAGCTGGCCCAGTTCCCCATCCAGCTGCCTCAGGGCCTGCCGCCGCTGGGCCTCAGTTTCCGCATGGATCAGATCTGCCAGTCCCTCCACCTCAGTCAGGCTCAGCTTTCCGTGGGCGAACGCCCTCCTGGTGAACTCTCCGGCCTCAGCTGGTCGTAGTCCTGGCACACTACCTGGAAGCATCACAAGGTCCCTGATCCCCATCCTACAGCAGATGCCTGATGGCGAAGAACAAACTGAAACCTGTCTGGGTTTTGAGGTGATACGGCTGAGCTGCTGGACCCCCACTCTCCTGGCCCGCCCTGTAAGGAACACCAGGAAGCTCACTGGCTCCCCAGGCCAGACTCCGACGGGCCCCTTATTTGGGTCTGACTTGGGTATCCCGCCTGAGGGTTAGGAGATTCTGTTAGAACCCAGGACAGTGGCTGCTCAGGTCACCTGCAGCTGCTCCTCCCACAAAGGCCCCAGACTGACAGACTAGTAACCACCAGAGGTTTCCTGTGCAAACCAGTTTGACAGACACACATCAAGCAAAGCATTTTCTTCCTGGAAAGGCAAGACCACCCCCCTCCTCCCACCACCCAGGAATCACAGGCAGGCTGGTTGTAAGCTGGTACTGTGGGCTTAATCAACTCCCTGCTTAGGACCTAGCCCTTCCTCCGAAAGACCCCCACCAAACGCACCCTGTTCTTGAGCCTCAGCTGTCTTCACAGCCTTCCCCATACTGCAGTCTGTCTACGGCATTAATCAGGGGTGTGTGTGTGTGTGTGTGTGTGTGTGTGTGTGTGTGAAACCACACCAGGAAGTCAAAAGACAGCGTACAAGAATCAGTTCTCTCCTTTCACCGCAGGGATCCCGGGATTGGAACTCAGATGGGTCTTGACAACAATCGCCTTTACCGGCTGAGCCAGCCATCTAGAAGGCCCACGTTAATATGATAAACCTTTCCCCCCAAATGACACTCTGTCTTGCTGCCTACACCTGAGACCTTTCAGTCTCTCCGGGAAAAGTGTCACCCAACAGAGCCTCACCCAAGGCCTGCAGGACTCCGCTGACCACCGCGGGACCTCCATGCACGTGCAACTCCACGCAATCCTCACCCGTGAAACTCTGGGGGCCTGGTACGGCAAAAAGCAGAGTCAGACAAAGGGCACGGCCTGGGCTGCCTCCCGGAGGGGGCTGAGCCCGGGTCACGAGCGCCGTGGGATCCTGGATCGGGGCCCTCACCTGGGAACCAGAGGACCAGCGCGCGGTCCAGCGGCTCCCCGGAGCGCGGGTGGCGGAGAAGGCGCAGGCAGGCGCTGCGGGCCGGCGGTGGCTCCCGGGACGCCGTGAGGCTGCGGAGCGCGAGCCCGCTGGCCGGGCCGCTGGTGCGGATCACGGCGATGGCGCAGCGGCCCTGGCCGGAGCTGAGAGCGAAGATGGTGCTGCCGGGGGCCCAGGGCCCGGCGCCGCTGCTCCGGCGTGCGCACAGCCTGGGGGCCGGGGAGGAGAGCAGTGAGCGCACCCAGCACGCCGAGCCCCGGGGGGAACAGGGGCGAGGGAACGTCGCCCGGGGATGCCCCGGATGCGCGCGCTGCGGCCGGCGGATGGACGGGGCGGGCAGGAGAGGACATGGCCGCTCCGGGCGGAGGAACGGGGCCCTGGGGCCGAGAGCGGCGCCCCGCGCCGTGACAGCGGGTCTGCCCCACCCACCTGCGGGGCGCCCGTGCCGCCCGGGTCGCCAGGGCGCTCAGCCCGCGCCACATGGGTCTCCAAGTCACAAGCGCCCTGCCCGACCTTCCTGCGCGGCTTCACGTTCTGGGGGGAAGTCCCGCCCCCTTCGCGGCGTGACTGGCAGGGCGCTCAGCCACTCGATTACCATTGGGTGGGCTACGGACGGTGGTTCCTATTGGCTGATAGCAGGGTGTGTGCGGCGTGAGTGTCCCTCGGAAATACGAGACCCAAGTTTTCGGTTCCTGGAGCGGGGGGCGGAGCCAGCCGGGGGTGGGGTGGGGGGAGCGGGCCGTCCCGGGGCGAAGGTTCGGGTCCCCGGCTTCCCCGTGTGCGCGCCGTCGCTGCAGAGGAGCCAAGAAGCCACGTGTGCTGTTTTCACGCTCAGCGGGCAAAGGCGCTAACAGCCCGAGCTCGATCCCCGGGACCCGCTTAGCGGCTGCCCAAGTTGTCCTCCGCCCCCGACACGAGGGGCAGAGGGGGCGAAGGAGGGAGGGAGGGAGAGGTGGGGAGGGAGAGACCAGGTAGGGACCGGAAGCTCAAAGCATCTTGCTGACAGTCGGGGATGAGTTCCGGGCAAAGCCACGCCCTAAGTCAGGGAAGAATTGGTCCCAACTTTTGGGAAGTTTCTTCCCGGCCCTTTCCGGGTCTCTCCGCTCCCCGTCCCCCAGCTTTGCCAGCTCCGAGGCGAGCGTTTGCAGCCAGGAGCCATCCCCAGGCCCGGCGCCTCCTCCAGGAAGGCCTCCGGGCGGCTCCACTCCAGCCCGGGCTCCGGGCGGCTCCACTCCAGCCCGGGCTTCCCCGCCCTCTCCGAGGCCCCGGCCGGCCGCAGCTCCGCCGTGTGCCCGTGGCTCCCCGGGGTTACCTCCAGGTTAACCCGGGACAGCCCCGACCTGGGGGCGAAGGCGGAGGCTGGAGCTCCGGGCACCGGGCGGGCGGGGCCGCGGGCGCCCTCGCCGTTAGTTCTCGGGTTCTGGCTCCGGGCACCGGGCGGGCGGGGCCGCGGGCGCCCTCGCCGTTAGTTCTCGGGTTCTGGCTCCGGGCACCGGGCGGGCGGGGCCGCGGGCGCCCTCGCCGTTAGTTCTCGGGTTCTGGCTCCGGGCACCGGGCGGGCGGGCGGGCGGGCTCCGGGGACTCGCTGCGGGCCGATGCGGCCGCGAAGCCCTCGGCTGCCCTACTTTGCGGTCTGTGAAACGGGAGCGGTGGTGCTGTCCACCTCCGTGGTCCCGTCTGAACGTGTGGACAGCAGATGCCCACTGCAGACCCGGCCTGCCTAGCCTGGGCTCACGGTCCTTCAGAGTGGGCCACTCCGGACCGTGGGCGGTGGGGAGACCCGGCCCTGCGCGGGGGCTCCGCGGGTTACGGCGCTCGCCGCCGAGCCTGGAGACGAGTTCGATCCCCCTGCTCCCCGTGGTGGAGGGAGAGGATCATTCCCTCCAGTTGTCTCCTGCCCGCCACACGCTGGCCAAAGCGCTGACCTCACACACAAGCAAATGCTCTTTTCAAAGTCGGGGGCTCGGAGGGAAAGGGAGGCCACCCAGCGCCGGAGGCTCGGCTTCGGGAAGAGCCTTTCCCCAGCAAGCGGGACCCCGCTGGCTCACACCCCGCTCCCCACCCCACACACACTCACACGAGTTTCGTTTTCTTTTTGGGTTTTTCACGACAGGGTTTCTCTGTGTAACATACTGGGACTCCCTGTGTGGACCAGGCTGGCCTCGAACTCAGGGATCCGCCTGTCTCTGCCTCCCGATTAAAGGAGGGCGTCGCCATCCGGCCAGTGGGCTGATATATATATATATATATATATATATATTATAATTTTAATTTATTTTTATTTACGGGTGTGTACTGTCTGGGTCAGGTGTCGGGCCGGAAGAGGTTGTCATGTGCCGTGGAGCTGGAGTTTCAGGGTGCGGGAACCGAACTCTAGTCCTCTGGAAGAGCGCAAGTGCGGGGCCGAGGGTCCCGGATCGCTCAGAGTGGCCGTGGACTTGCGATGGAGCTGAGGATCGCTTTGAGATACGGATCTTTCTGCCCCCTGAGTGCAGGCCTGGGAGCTCGGTGCCAGCCAGGCCAGGGGTCTGCGACCGTGCGATCCTGCGGCCCCCATCCCGCCACGCGGAGACGGAACGCAGAGCCTTGCGCATGCTCGGCCCGTCTGTGCTGCCCATCTGCACCCCGGCCCCTGGCCGACTACTTTCTCCATTTCCTCTGTGTGAGGTGCGCGCGCCGGGGTGCACTCGTGAACGTCGTCGGCTCTCCACCACGGAGATCGCGGACTTGAACTCGGGACCCCACACCCGGCCTCAAGCGCCTTTATGCACTGAGCCGTTTTTGGCAGGCTCGGGACCATGTTTAGTGGGTAACCTTGGCGCCTGTATCCAGATCCTTTATGGAGGCTACATTGTAAAGATCACAAGGGCTGCGTGGGTGCGGAGGGCGCGCAGCGTGTTTGAGGCAAAGGCCCTGGGGCAGGCTGGACCTGCTGCGCGTGCTCACACCCTTGTCGGGGTAGTTGAGGCATTGCTCTTGGAAATGTCGCCCAACCAGGCCCTCCCTCTGACACATCCTGCAGGGAGGAAATCACGGCCAGCTCAGATTCCACACCACGTGAACGCTGTCCTTTGCAGATGGGTAAACCGAGGCTGCGGGGCTGTGACGGTGGAGGAGACGCCTTCTCAGTGCGGCCGGGAACAAACACCACAGATCCAAGTGGGCGGGCGGCGAGGGAGCGCAGAAAACCACACGGGCGGGGACGGGAAGCAGAGGCGAGGCGGGCGGGACCGAGGGTGACGCGCGCGCGGGCTGCGAAGAAGAATCGAGGTTTGGCTCGGGCGGGGACGCCAAGCAAGTGAGGCGCGGGGACGGCGCGCGGCGCGGGCGGGCGAGAGAGGCCTTTGTCTCCTCCTCCTCCTCCCGCGCGCTCGGTGGTGCCACTCGGGTCCCCATGAGCCCGCTTCCCCCCGGCGCCCGGGCGTCCCGCAGCCCCTGACCTGCTCTGTCCTCGCCATGGCCGAGGCGGCCTCGGGCGCCGGGGGCACGACCCTGGAGGGGGAGCGGGGGAAGAGGCCCCCGCCCGAGGGCGAGCCTGCGGCGCCTGCGTCTGGAGTCCTGGGTACGTGAACTGCGGGTGGCACCGGGCAGGTGCACGGGTGCGCCCCGGGGCTGCGGGGGACGCCGATCGATCGGGGTCACACATGCAGAGCCTGGCATGTGGCCCGGGGCCGCTCCTCGCGGCGCTGCGGCTGCGGCCCGGCGCGGGGTTGGAGCAGTGCGTCCGCACTGGGGGTCCTGGGTGCGGGGACGTGGACACGCCCCTCGGGCGGCCCCGGCTCGGCTGGAGCGAGCCCTGCCGTTTGGAGACTCCCAGCACCGGGAAACAGGATGATATGAACTCGCACGGTCCTGAGTTCGAATCCCACCTTGGTTAGGTGACCTTGAGCGCCTGGGTACACTCTCTGGGCCTCAATTTGGTGACCTGCGAAATGGGGTTAAGGATTTTACTCTGTTCGTGCGGCTGCTTTAAGGACCGCGCTGTCATACCGTAAAGCGCTCAAGGTTGCTTGTGGGCACCCCACTGATTGTGGTTGGGGAGGCGGAGCTGGGCCTCAACCATGAGTAAGATTTCTAAGGCAGGCCCTAGGGGGAAGGGCCTGGCTGGTGCCGGGGACGTGGAGAGAGGAGAGCAAGCCCAGGCTACGGGTGCCCGGCCCTGGAGAGCTCTGATGGGGGCCAATCAGTCCCCGGAGAGGCCTGATCTCAGCCCGACCTGCCGCGCCGCCCCACAGATAAACTGTTCGGGAAGAGGCTCCTGCAGGCCGGCCGCTACCTGGTGTCCCACAAGGCGTGGATGAAGACGGTGCCCACCGAGGACTGTGACGTGCTCATGACCTTCCCAGGTATGCACACCTGCCTGCCCAGCCTCCGCCGCTTTGTCCTCCCGAGCACAGACCCATTGGCCTCTGTGCCCCTTGGCAGACACCACTGATGACCACACGCTGCTGTGGCTGCTGAATCACATCCGAGTGGGCATTCCCGAGCTGATCGTGCAAGTTCGCCACCACCGCCACACGCGTGCCTATGCCTTCTTCGTCACAGCCACCTATGAGAGGCGAGTCACCTGCCTCCGCCTCCCCCTGGCTTTGTCACCCGGCTCCCTGCCCCGCGGAGGGCCAGCTGTGCCAACCATTCGTTTGTCCCGAGATGTGGCTCGGGAGTCGTCCTTAGCTTGGGGATGGTGAGCCGGGGTCCCACGGTGAACCCTCTATGCCCTGCCCTGCCCACAGCCTGCTCCGAGGGGCCGACGAGCTGGGTCTGCGGAAGGCAGTGAAGGCCGAGTTTGGCGGGGGCACCCGCAGCTTCTCCTGCGAAGAGGACTTCATCTACGAGAACGTGGAGAGCGAGCTGCGCTTCTTTACCTCGCAGGTGACCGCCCTGCGCCCACGTCTCTGTGCCCGGCGCCCCGCGTGCCAGGCTCACCCCTGTCTCCCCACAGGAGCGGCAGAGCATCATCCGCTTCTGGCTGCAGAACCTACGGGCCAAGCAGGGGGAGGCGCTGCACAACGTGCGCTTCTTGGAGGACCAGCCAATCAGTGAGCAGGGCGCGCCCGCCATCCAGTTACCTGCCGAGAGCTGGGCGTGTCCGTTAGACGGTCGTGTAGGAGGGCGGAGCTTACGGGCAAACTAATCGAGGCTAGGACCGAGCGGGGCAGCCAATGAACCCAATGGGTGTGGCTGCGCCGGGCACCCGGTGCCCGGGCGGGAGGGGCGGTCCAGGTGAGGCTTTGCCGTAGGTCCCTGGGAAGGTGAGGGCAGGACCGCGGACAGCGCCCAGTGCTCGGTGGTGAGGCCCATTGGGAAACCAGTTCTCACAGGTTCACTTTTCTACACCAGCCTGGCATTTTTTTAGACAATCAGGGCCAGAAACGGGGGTTAAATTCTAAAAATGCACCCGATGGGCACGGTGGGGACATGCCTGTGCTCTGCCAGCCCGTGGGAGGCTGAGGCCGAGAGCCTGTTAGTTCAAGACCAGCCTGGGCGACATAGTGAGACCCTCTTAGTTCCCGGCCAGCCCCGCTCCTCCCAAATCCATCTCCCCAGGGCGTGGGCCGCCACACCCGGCTCACGCCACGCTGGGGATGGAACCCAGGCTCTTGTGTATGCAAAGCAAGCACCCTACCAGCCGACCCACATTTCCAGCCTCCTACGGGCTTCAGAACAGGCAAACAGCTGTGACACTGGTTCCCCCAAGGTGGGCTGCCCGGGCTGGTCACGAGGTGCAGGGGCAGAGGTCATTCTCACTCCTCCTCCTGCAGTCCCGGAGCTGGCTGCCCGAGGCATCATACAGCAGGTGTTTCCGGTCCACGAGCAGCGCATTCTGAATCGTCTCATGAAGTCCTGGGTGCAGGCCGTGTGTGAAAACCAGCCTTTAGGTGTGGCTCAGTGGCCGAGGAGTGGGCTGGGGTCCCAGGTGACACTTGGAGGTGACCCAGACTCTCTTGTCCCCTGGCAGATGACATCTGTGACTACTTTGGGGTGAAGATCGCCATGTATTTTGCCTGGCTGGGCTTCTACACGTCGGCAATGGTTTACCCCGCCGTCTTCGGCTCTGTTCTGTACACATTCACCGAGGCGGACCAGGTGCCGGGCCAGGACTGGGGTGGCCTAGCTTCCCCCAAAAGCCGGCTGCGTCATTGACTCGGCTCTCCTGTCACCTGCAGACAAGCCGGGATGTCTCCTGTGTTGTCTTTGCTCTCTTCAACGTGATCTGGTCAACACTGTTCTTGGAGGAGTGGAAACGGAGAGGCACAGAGCTCGCTTACAAGTGGGGGACGCTGGACTCCCCCGGGGAAGCTGTGGAGGAGCCACGACCCCAGTTCAGGGTCAGTCTGGAGCCGAGGCTCAATGTCAGACAAGGTTGTGGAGGGCACTGTGCGTGTGTGCTGGGGTTGACACCAGAGAAAGGTGTGTGCACCTTGACGGCGGCGGACTTGAGGCTTGAGATCCACCGCCGCCGTGTGTGTGTGTGTGTGTGTGTGTGTGTGTGTGTGTGCTGGGGCTGACACCAGAGAAAGGTGTGTGCACCTTGACGGTGGTGGACTTGAGGCTTGAGAAGGGTGCGCCGAGGAGCGTCTCGTGAGAGACGAGGCTTGGCTGGGGGAAACTGGGCCCCTGGGGTCAGGAGGTGGGTGTGGCCCCGGGGCACATACGCTACCCTTTCTGCTGTCAGGGCATCCGTCGCATCAGCCCCATCACTCAGGCTGAGGAGTTCTACTACCCGCCCTGGAAGCGATTGCTCTTCCAGCTGCTCGTCAGCCTGCCTCTGTGCCTGGCCTGTCTCGTCTGCGTCTTCGTGCTGATGCTCGGCTGCTTCCAGCTGCAGGTGACCCCACAGCCCCGGCCCTGCCCGAGCCTCTGGCCGCCGAGCACAGGCCCGGCCTGAGCCCCCCGCCTCGTCCGGTCCCCTGTAGGAGCTGGTCCTGAGCGTCAAGGGTCTGCCCCGCCTGGTTCGATTTCTGCCCAAGGTCATGCTGGCCCTGCTGGTCAGCGTGAGCGCCGAGGGCTATAAGAAGTTAGCCGTGTGGCTCAACGACATGGGTATGTGCAGCCAGGGGAGGTCCGCGCCTTCCCGGGGACCCCCAGAGCCCCCGGGAGGAGCAGGGTGGCACCTCACTCGCCTCCTCGGCCCCTAGAGAATTACCGGCTAGAGAGCGCTTACGAGAGGCACCTCATCATCAAAGTCGTCCTGGTGAGTGAGCATGCCCGTCCAAAGAGGCTAGGAGGATGGGAGAGGGGGCTGGGTGACCCGTAAGGCGGGGCTGCAGGATGACCCCGGCCGCCTGCCTCCCAGTTCCAGTTTGTCAACTCCTACTTGAGTCTGTTCTACATCGGCTTCTACCTCAAAGACATGGAGCGCCTGAAAGAGGTGAGGGCCTGCCCAGCGCCCCAGGGCCAGCACCCTGGCCCCCTGGGGATGGGCCCCTGGAAGGGTCCAGGGCTCTCCAGCCCCTCCCCCGCCCCTCCATCCTTCTCTCCTTTTTGTCCGTCTGTCCGTGTGTCCTCTCTCTGCCCGTCGTTCCCCTCTCCCATCCGTCCGTCCGTCCACCTGTCCCGTTGGTCCCTCCACAGCTCCTGCTACTCCTGTCCCTGACCCAGAGCCTCGAGCGGCAGCTGCGGGCGGCGCTGGTCCCGCTCGTGGCCCTGCGGTTGCGCCTGCTCCTCCTGTCCCTCCGGGGTTTCCTGCTCGCGGCCCGGGCCAAAGTACGGGCAGGTGGCAGCCTCGCCACGGTGTGGGCAGTGTGGCTGTGCTGCGGGTGGGGCACGGCGAGCATAGGGTGCATGCGCAATAGGGTCTCCGGTGCAGGAGGAGGACGGCCCGCCGAGGCGCCCAGGGCCCTAGGCGGTGCCTGGGCGGGGTGGAGATAGTTGCGCTGAGATTCCTGGCCGGTCTGCAAGTTGTCTGCGCCGTGCACTGCGCAACCGCGCGTGGCAGTTGCATTGGGGCTGAGCTGCAGCCTCATGTCCAGGGTTGTCGAGGGTGCTGCAGGAGCCGCCTGGAAGGGCGTGCGCGGCTTCGAGGGTGTGACCCCCGCGGTGCCCGGCCCCGTCCGCCCCACGCGGCCTCTTTCCGCCCGCAGATGCTGGCCACGCTCCTCATCACCCGGCAGCTGCTGCAGAACGTGCGCGAAGTGCTGCAGCCGCACCTGTACCGCAGGCTGGGCAGCGGGGAGCTGGGGCTGCGCGCCATCGGGGAACTGGCTCGGGCCCTGCTAGGCCTGCTCAACCCCCTGCGCCCGGACCTCCGACGGCACCTGGAGGCCCAGGCTGATGAGGGAGGAGCGGGGAGCCACAGGTGCCTGGGCGGAGGCTGCGGGGCGCCCGAGGAAGAGGAAGAGACGGTGGTGGTGGAGCGGAGGCCCGCAGGGGAAGGCGGAGAGGTCCCAGATGGGAGTCGGGGTGGCAAGGAGGAGGAGGACGAGGACGAGGACGATGAGGACGATGAGGACGACGAGGACGAGGGCGAGGAAGGCGGCCTCCTGGACTGCGGGCTGCGCCTTAAGAAGGTCAGCTTTGCCGAGCGGGGCGCAGGGAGGCGCAGGCCAGGCCCGGGCCCCGACGGCCTCCTGGAGGAGGGGAGCCCCACCATGGTGGAGAAGGGGCTGGAGCCTGGCGTGTTTACGCTGGCTGAGGAAGACGACGAGCCGGAGGGACCTCCCGGCAGCCCCGGGCCAGAGCCCCCGACGGTCTTACTCCGTCGCGCGGGCGGTGAGGGCCGAGACCAGGGTCCTGATGGAGGTCGAGACCCGGAGCCCGGCTCCGGCGACACGGCTGGGAGACAGAGGCACAGCAGGTCCTCCTGGATCGACCCACCCGAGGAGGAGCATTCGCCGCAGCTCACGCAGGCGGAGCTGGAGAGCTGCATGAAGAAGTACGAGGTGAGAACTTCTGCATGAAGAAGGGCGGGGCCATCACCAGGTCCGGACTTAGAGGAGAGGCTGGTCCACAGGAACCCAAAAGTGATTAAACAGGGCAGTGTCATAGTTTAGTTGGTAGAGTGCTTGTCTAGCATGCACAGAGCACCACATAACCCCGGCATGGTGAAGCTTGCTGGTCTTGCCAGCACCGGGAGCTGAAGGCAGGGAGATGAGAAGGTCAAGGTCAGCCTCTGATTTATAGTAAGTTCTGGTCAAGCCTGGGCTACAGGAGACACTCCCTTAAAAAAACAAACCGGAGGTGGTGCGGTGGTGGTGGTGGCGGCGGCGGCGGCGGCGGCGGCGCACGCTTTTAATGCCAGACTGAGGAGGCAGAGGCAGGGGGATCTCCGTAAATTCGAGGCCAGCCTGGTCTACAGAGTGAGTTCCAGGACAGCCAGGGCTACGCAGAGAAACCAATAAATAAGCAGGACTGGAGCGCTGGCTCAGCGGGTCGAGCTGATCCTCAGATTCCTGCGCCCACATCAGCCCTACAAAAGCTGCCAACTCTAGCTGCAAGGGACCCGGCACCAGCTTCCAGTCTCTGCGCACGCACGGACGCACAGGAATCCACACGCACATAAGTAAAATACAGTTTAGATAAATAACAAGAAAAGAAAAGAAGGGTGAGTGGGATGGCCGGGATGGTAAAGGCGCTGGCCACAAAGCCTCGAGGACCTCAGTTCAAACCACGGGACCCCTCAGTGGACGGAGAGAACAGACGACCAGCAGTTGTGTTCTGATGTCAACAACGTGCTGTGAACCCCACTCAAAAGACAGGTGGACAGTGCCTGAGGTCTGTTCACAGTTCACCCTGGCTTCCATCAAGCTCACACAGGCCTGAGCTCACACACACACACACACACACACACACACACACACACACACGAGCAAACTATGCAGAGAAACAAAAAGCCTCCCCACCCCTGCCACTGCCACAAAAAAGCACATGGACGGGGTGTACCGTTGTTGTTACAGTCGGGGTGCACTGTTGATGTTACAGTCTGGGTGCACTGTTGTTACAGCCGGGGTACACTGTTGTTGTTACAGTCGGGGTGCACTGTTGTTACAGTCGGGGTGTACTGTTGTTGTTACAGTCGGGGTGCACTGTTGTTGTTACAGTCTGGGTGCACTGTTGACGTTACAGTCTGGGTGCACTGTTGTTACAGTCGGGGTGCACTGTTGTTACAGTCGGGGTGCACTGTTGTTACAGTTGGAGTGCACTGTTGTTGTTACAGTCGGGAGGGCACTGTTGTTACAGTTGGGTGCACTGTACAGTCGGGGTGTACTGTTGTTACAGTCGGAGTGCACTGTTGTTGTTACAGTCGGGAGGGCACTGTTGTTACAGTCGGGTGCACTGTTGATGTTACAGTCGGGGTGCACTGTTGTTACAGTCGGGGTGCACTGTTGATGTTACAGTCGGGGTGCACTGTTGTTGTTACAGTCGGGGTGCACTGTT